CATAAAGCTTCATGGATGCAGAGTAGTTTTGATTGATCTTGATGAATGACTTAACTGCCATATCAGACATTACTGAAGACTTTGAATGCTGTCCAGTACCACCACGCCACCAAGGCCAAGTTTCTTTGTATAATGTGTTGCAGTAACATCAGCTATGAAAGGGATGGAGAACAAGATAATTGTGAATTAGAAACAGGCAATGGATTATCAGCTCTCTTGAAAGAATTTGAGATTGTTAGCTGTCCCAGCATGGCTGCCTGTTTGTATACTCATTGAACAGAAAGTTGATGAAAGAAATCTGAGTAGCATTAAGGTAATTGAAATTAGGGCACAGGAAGGCTGGCACTAATGAAAGCTTTTATTGATCATCCTTCACTGATGTTTATAATTTCAATTTGAAGATTTGCAAGTGACTTTGAGGGGAGGCCTTTTTAAACAGTCCATTGAAATAAACATAATCACAGCTCAAGAACTAAGAGAAATTCAGAATGAAATAGAAACATTTTTGAGAAGTCTGCCACTGAGAGGAGAATTAATCATTATCACTTGATCCCAGGTATATTAACCACTAACTGTTATTTTTACTTTGTACATGAAAACCAGTCTTCTTCAGAGGTAGCTTCACCTCTTTTTTCCTCCTTTCTTTTGTTGACTGTTGTGAGCTTATTACTCATTAGCATCAGTGGCAACACAGAGTTATCATGTATGACCATAGTATCAGGTCAAGGATAACACCGCCTTCAGAGCCATCCCAAATAAATAAATTTGAAGTTGTATGAAAATTCTGATGTTGAGACAAATAATTCATTTCTCCTCTCTTGCAATGAGATTTATGACACTTAGAATCTTCTATTTAGAAATTCTATCCCAATTACAGACCTTCATAGAAGAGTAAAATTTAAAACAATCAATCTTGCTTCTTGGTTAAACAGTATTTTCTGTGAGCTATATGTTGTTAGATATAACAGGCTAGACAGAGACACAAGATACCTTTTTGAAGAGCACAATCTCATAGGGAGTGTAAAACAAACACAAAGCAGAATGCCATAAGAACCTATGGAGGTACAAAATGCCACAGAAATTATTAGAAGCCAAATAACAAGGCAGGTAGCAGGGGGATCAGGGAAGGTCTAATTGAGAGACTGGTATTTTGAATAGCTGGCCTTTTAAATCTTCTCTTACTGCTTTCTTATCTTCACAGATATTTTCGCATGATTTAATACTAATAAAGAACAGGGATATCTTATATCCCAACTCTTAGCTCATTCAATCTCTTCAGTAGTTCCAAACGGAGAGATCCTAAGGCAGTGGTTCAAGAAAAGGCCCATGTGAGGGTTGGCGAATGTTGCAGGATTCTTAATGTGAGAAATTTTACCTAAATGGTAAAATGCTGAGTTTGGAAAGATCCCAAATGTTCCTTCATTATCTGCTAGAATCTATATGGACAAATATTCAGACTTTGAGATTGCTTTATACAAGTTAGATTATTTGCATGTTAATTATTTATGAACAACTATATGCAAAGATCGGGTTCCTTGCTTAGCAAATAACCGCCGTAACGCCGCAATACGCGCCACAACTTGTTGTGGCTGCGTTATATACAAACCACATATTGCGCTAGGAGTAAGAAAGAAGCTGCCTTGAATGGCTGATGAGTTCTTGAATTTTTTGACTTATAAATGTGCATATGTTAAACAAAACCTTACTTGTTATAGGTATTTGGAGAAATGGTAATAGTTAAAGCATACTTCTGCCAATGTAAGCCAGCCAACCTCTTCTGTAATAACGACACTGTCCATATTCTCAAGAGTAATTGTTATTGAATAAATTAGTTTGGTGCATTGCTAAAGATAGCAAAAAAATAAATTGTTGTGATAATTTAAGAAATTTTTAAATGAAGTTTGTTCAGGAAAAAAAGAATGAGTTTATCCTGAGCAACAGGACTGTGCTGCAACCACTTGATATAGATTATTCACAAAGAAAGGTTTTATCCACACCTGCCAACACATGTAATTTCACTGGGACTATGTAAGTGGATATCTGTATTTACTCCCACAATGACTTGATGTGTGAGAGAACTGACTTGAGAAACCTGTGCTGCAGATGGCTGTGGAGGAGAAGAGCAACCTCACAGTCGGGTAAGATAGAGAGGTGCCACTTCGTTAGACATTACAATGAATGATGAATAAATGGCATATTTCATATGCATTTATTAAGATGCTTCATCTTGAATCCAATTTAAAGTGAGGTGCTGGATTCTTACTTGAGGAAGATAGATTTATTTTACCAACTTGATTAAAGAGGTAGAAGATGGTGGTGAAGAGAGCATATTTGGATGCAATCTATCTAAGATGTGGAAACTTAGTCGCAAATGATGTAGGATAACAGTTCTGCCTTATTGTAAATTTTAGGGCTCATTTGATGTACTTAAAAATAAGATTATGATAAAAGAGAATTAATCTACTTTGCAGGGAATGCCTGTAGAGAAAAAAAAAAAAAAAAAAAAAAAAAAAAAAAAAATCATAAAGTATAAATCTGCTCTCAGATTGCTTCACAAGTACCTTTAAGTTATTTTCCCCTTAAAAGAACAAAATCTTGGGAAATCTTAGCTGATGGTTTATGGGTACAGTTTCTGCAAGAGATAGCATGCAGAATTCCAATCAGTAGACTACATGCAAAGAAAAGGTCTTGGACCTTCTCAGTAGATTGGCAAATGAACACACGGTTGTTTTAGGTTAGAATACAGTTTAAGGTATTTGCTATACTTTTTCATGACTCTGTGGTGTAACTGACCTTTTTTCTTTTAAAAAAGCTTTTTTTAGATATAATTTACATACCACAAAGTTCATCCTCATAAAGTGTACAATTCAATATTTAACCATTTTTTCCACTTATTGCTTGGCTAGGGGCCCAGACTACATCTATGAGAGGGCTTCTTATATATGCACAACATGTAAAGAAGCTATTAATTTTGCTTGATGAGGGATGGGGATTCAGGGAAGATTATGTTTGAGCTTGAAGAGCCTTGAACAAAAAGTAGCAGTTAGGCATATAAAGAGGAGGGTATTTTGCTAAGTAGAGGAATTGCAAATGTAAAGAATGAAATCATGTGGCCTCTAAAGAACAGCTTTTATTTGAGTGGCTTGGGAATAGGGCATTTTTATTTTTTCAGACTTAATTATGCATCTGAATCATACATAGAGATTAAAACTAAACAAAAAAAGCAAAACACGTTCAGGCCTGACTCCTAGAGATTATGATTCAACGTATATCTGGGGTGGAGTCTCTACATTAATTTTTTTTTTTTTAAGTTGCCTTGCAGTTCTGATTTGCAGTCAAGACTGAGAACCACTGGAGTAGGATAGAGTGAAAATGGGATGAGGAAGTGTTAGGACATGACGCTAGGACCAGATGGTGAAAGGAAATGGTATGCAAATACAATATAACAAACTCTCTCTTCCCTGACAACTTCATTCTTTTGAAATATTTCCTTTTTCATTTTTTTTTACTGCCACTACTGTTGCATGAAAGAATACGAATCCCACCATTGTAAAAACAGAGATAAATGTTTAAAACCTTTGTAACTAAAAGACCTCTATTTTGCTTGAGGTATTAAGCTGGTGCAAAAGTAATTGTGGTCTGTCAATGGCAAAAACCGCAATTACATTGGCACCAACCTAATGATATTTAACATAAAACAGACTCGGGGCAGAGGGCACCTTCTGATTGCGTGTACCACCCCGCTCGGGGTTCTTAACAAATGACCAAAGAAAACACGAATTTTGACAAAACTGGTGCTAGGGCTATTGAAGCGTGGGTTCCTATTCCGGGTTAGTGCTCCCATTCTCTAGTCAAGCACAAGAACCTGCCTACTCCCGAGGGCTCTTCCAACCCCCCAGCTGAGATTATGAGACAAAGGTTCTTTAGCGCCTACCAAATGAGCAACAGTAAATGTAAGAAGGACCTTTCGTTTCATCATAACCAGTTCCTCAGGAAGCACCATTTCTCTTACTCTTGGAAAGTCGGATTTTTTTTCCCTTTGGCATACACTGGCTTTCCATGTCCTAACTGCTATTTTCAAATAAATGAACGTTACATTCTTGGAGGACAGCTCAGGGATGCTAAACTGCACCTTTATCATGATTTTAGTTAGGGATGAGGGCCTTTTACTTAAGTCCTGCTAGTGGCACATATTTTAAAAGGCCATAGAGGTCATCCATGTTGTCGGCACAAGTGAAGGCGCTCGAAAGAGTGTTGGTCAAAAAGAATCAGCACAAAGGCATTGGAGGAGAGACAACAGCTTGTTTCTGGAAACAAACGAACAACAACAAAAAAAACACTAAAAACATCTCGAGAGGCCCCCTGACTTGAGCCCTGCAAGGGACAAGCTGCCAAGAGCTGACATGACAAGGGACTGGTCCCGGGCTGCGGTGAGGAAACCCAGCGTCCTGACAACGCTGCTGGGTCTCCAGGCGTCCCTGAGACCGGAAGCGCGGACTTCAGCTCTCTTGGGAAACGGTTTCCGTCAGCAGAAGGGAGACTGCGGTTTGGTCGCGAGGTCGCTCCGGCAGCCCCACCTCACGCGACCCGCCATTCCCACCGCCCCCTCAAGGTGCCCGCCGTCCCGCTCTCTAACCGGGCCCTTAGTTCCCCGCCCCGTGCCCTCTGGAGACCTGCAGCTCCTGCCGCCCCGCGCCCGCTCCCGGGGTCGGTCGTTCCGCCGCCCCATCCCCCATGACGGATCCTCTATCTGCCTCCTCGCGACCCTTTCCGGACTCGGCCTGCCCACTCCCGCCCGCTAACCCGCCTGGCTCCGGGGCGAGGGCCCTCGCGGGACGCTGGTTCCTGTTCCTCTAACGCCGGCGGGGCTGCTGGGTGCCGGCTCGGCAGGCCGCCTAGACCCGGAACTGCTGAGGCAGCAGCAGGCTCGCGGCGCTTGGCTCATCCCGGGATTCCCCAGCGCTCGTGCTGGGCCTGCAGCGTCCGCACCAAGCACGCCGGGCGGCCCTGCCCAAGCTCCCTCCCGCCTCCCGGCAGCTGGCCCGCGGGGCCCTGGCCTTCAGGTTTCCCCTGGGATCCCGGGACGGGCAGGCGGGGGATCTGTGCGGCCGCGGCAAGGTGGGTGAGGTGAGGCGGGGCGAGGTGGGTGAGGTGAGGCGGGGCGAGGTGGGTGAGGTGAGGCGGGGCGGGTGTCGTCGCCGCTGGGCCGAGCTTACGACTCCAGGTGACCCGCTCGCGGTTGCCCAATTTCGTTGGGGCTCAGGACGAGGGTCGGGGCGGCAAATCGTCACAGAGGTCGCTGTAGACCTGTGTGCAACCGAAGGTGAAAAGCTGGAAGGCGCGGACCGAATCGCCTCTGGTGCGCGTCCTCCGACAGGAAGTCCCGAATGGGCGGTGAGCGGCCGGTGGAGGTGCACGGGCAGGTGCAGAGCCACAGCCTGCGCCCCGTGAGCCGAGGCGGGCAGGAGGAACAGGGACCCGGCGGCGACACACGTTGGGCGGAAATTCACAATGAACAAGGAAGGGGGATAGTCACCCACTCAAAACTGGCTAAATGAACCTCAGAGGGAGCCCCGAGCGATGGGGAGAGAAGGTTAGGGGAAGCGGCAGGAGAAAACCTTCTTGGGCCAAAGGGCGTCGCCAAAGGGGGTCACCGGAGACCCGCAGGATGGGGTGGGAGGGCTGGGCTGGAGGTGAGCAAAGCTGGATGGGGAGAATGAATGAAGAAAGTTGCGAGGAAGCCTGTCGGAAGCCTGTCTCGTCCAAATCACTATAGCTTTTGTGGTCATTGCTAAGTGTGGAGTACTGCGCAAATCCTCAGGGGAACTCTTATTAGCCATCTCAGCTTTTATCATCTTAAAAGGCGAATTTCGCGTGCAGCTCCATTTAGCTTCGTGAACTTAAGCCCCTGCATATGAAAGGATGAGACCTAATATGACAGTCATGTCAGGACTAATGATATATCACACAGGTTGACAACCTGCAATTTAAAAACAGGACTTTGTCTAAACTCAGCAAGTAATTCTTCACTTAAAAGTTCTATGTAAACAAAACAGAGGAACTGTTGTGCTGCTGGAAAGATGTACCAGCATTTTCACAAAACGAATCAAAAGATGGCTTTGCTTTGACTGTCATGGTTCTCTTGTGACAGAGTAGACTGGCTTTTCTGGGAGGGGCCTAGATTTACTATTTTAGTTACATTTTAAAATCAATGTAATTATTCTTTTTTAATCTACCACAAATTTCTGTCGTAACTATAAGAGGATTTATATAATTTTATATTCTTATACTAATTTTTATTTGCAGGTGATTTGGCACAAAAGTATTCTTTCAAGGATGGCAGAAGCAGTTTTGATTGATCTTTTCGATTTGAAATTGAACTCTCAAAAAAACTGCCATCAGACATTACTGAAGACTTTGAATGCTGTCCAGTACCACCACGCCACCAAGGCCAAGTTTCTTTGTATAATGTGTTGCAGTAACATCAGCTATGAAAGGGATGGAGAACAAGATAATTGTGAATTAGAAACAGGCAATGGATTATCAGCTCTCTTGAAAGAATTTGAGATTGTTAGCTGTCCCAGCATGGCTGCCTGTTTGTATACCATTAAACAGAAAGTTGATGAAAGAAATCTGAGCAGCATTAAGGTAATTGTACCCAGGCACAGGAAGGCACTAATGAAAGCTTTTATTGATCAACTCTTCACTGATGTTTACAATTTCGAATTTGAAGATTTGCAAGTGACTTTGAGGGGAGGCCTTTTTAAACAGTCCATTGAAATAAACATAATCACAGCTCAAGAACTAAGAGAAATTCAGAATGAAATAGAAACATTTTTGAGAAGTCTGCCAGCACTGAGAGGAGAATTAACTATTATCACTTCTCCTTTGATCCCAGGTATATTAACCACTAACTGTTATTTTTACTTTGTACATGAAAAACCAGTCTTTCTTCAGAGGTAGCTCACCTCTTTTTTTCCTCCTTTCTTTTGTTGACTGTTGTGAGCTTATTACTCATTAGCATCAGTGGCAACACAGAGCTATCATGTATGACCCTATAGTATCAGGGTCAAGGGATAACGCCTTCAGAGCCATCCCAAATAAATAAATTTGCTGTATGAAAATTTGATGTTGAGACAAATAATCTAGCCCTCCTTTGCAATGAGATTTATGACACTTAAAATCTTCTATTTAGAAATTCTGAAATTTCAAATCATTGGCACCTTCATAGAAGAGTAAAATTTAAAACAATCAATCTTGCTTCTTGGTTAAACAGTATTTTCTGTGAGCTATATGCTGTTAGATATAACAAAGCCAGATGAGACACAAGATACCTTTTGAAGAGCAACAATCTCATAGGGAGTGTAAAACAAACACAAAGCAGAATGCCATAAGAACCTATGGAGGTACAAAATGCCACAGAAATTAGAAGCCAAATAACAAGGGCAGGTAGCAGTGATCAGGGAAGGTCTAATTGAGAGACTGGTATTTTGAATAGCGTCTTTTAAATCTTCACTGCTTATCTTCAACAGATATTTTCGTACATGGATTTACTACAAGAACAGGTGGGATATCTTATATCCCAACTCTTAGCTCATTCAATCTCTTCAGTAGTTCCAAACGGAGAGATCCCAAGGCAGTGGTTCAAGAAAATCTGCGTAGGTTGGCGAATGCTGCAGGATTTAATGTGGAGAAATTTTACCGAATAAAGGTAAAAGTTTGCTTTATATTTTGAAAGATCTAAAGTATATTTTTTACTTTACTACTAACTACATGGACTTTAAGCTATTTAACTTTTGTATCTGCTTTTTTATACAAAGTTTTAGACTAATGCTATGGTTGTTTTTCTTAGATTTATACACCATAGCCTAAAGATCAGTTCTATTTTATACACACACACACACACACACACACACAGACATATATATGCACACACACACACAGAGTAAGTCATCCTTTAATGTTGATGGGTTCTTGGAAATTTTGACTTTAAGCGAAACGACATAATAAAACCAATTTTACCATAGGGTAATTGATATAAATAAGAATAAAGTTTCTAAGGCATATTTCTTGCCACAAAAACATCACCAAACTTCTAAATAAAGACCAACACATTCCTAGTATTAAATATTGAAATAAATGTGAGCTAGACATACATTTACAAAAGAGTAATAAAAACAAATTAAGATAACTACCAAATTGTTTGGGTTCAGGGCTTCAGGTAGCTGGAGTCTATCCTGGCAGATCAGGATCCAAGGTCATAACCCACCCTTGACAGGACGCCATTCCATTGCAGGGTGCTTTTACACACACACACATGTACTCCTACTGGGACCATGTGGACACCCCAATTCATCTCATATACACTTCTTTGGGATGTGGGAGGAAACTGGATTACCCGGAGAAAACCCACACAGACATGAGGAGAAGGTGCAAACCTCACACAGTCAGTGACAGGGTGGGTAGTCAATTTTTTTCATTAACATTATAATGAAATGATGTGGAATAAAATGACATTATTCAAGAGCCTACTGTATATTTCATCTGGAGTCTCAATTCTAAAAGTACAGTTAATTCTCGGAGAGTATACTACCACTACCCTTTTTGATTTGAAGAAAGGGAACTGCATGGTGGTAGAGAAAGGCCATTATTTTATAAATCTGCTCCAGGAGGAACTAGGGTCATAGTTGATGAGATAATGTCTTGTTCCGTACAGAATTCTAGCTTTACTTGAGTCTGGGAAAAGTAAAAGTATCATTGATTTGGTAATTAACTTTCTTTTACAGGAAAAGTTTTCATTTTGTAGAAAGTGCTTTAAGAAGTGTTATACCTATCTTTATGGAAAGATGTTCATTATTCACTATATTGAATTTTATAATGTTAAACTGTGCTTTTCTTTGTATAAACTATCAGAGAGTATAATACCAAAAGCTTAAATAGTTAAATTATAAGTAAATTTTGTGTTTTCCCATATACAAAAGTGATATATTTAATGAATGCTAGTAATCTTAAACTGGTTATATAATTTTATACTACAATGAATACCTTCAGGAAAGCTTATGGTATGAGAAATCCCACTTCCAAAACATTTTTGTTGCACATTTTTGGTATTAGACTCATCATTCCAATGACATCTGGATTATGGGAAGAAAGGAGCCTGATTCTTATGATGGAATAACCACAAATCAGAGAGGAGTCACAATAGCAGCTCTTGGTGCTGACTGTATACCAATAGTTTTTGCAGATCCAGTCAAAAAAGCATGTGGGGTTGCTCATGCTGGTAAGTATACTTAATTAAACATTTAGGATTTTACTCATTTTATTGTGCAGGAAAAATTGTAATTTCTTTCTGATACACATGGCAAACAGTTAATTACATTACACTGTGGTAAATGTAATGATGGGAGGGGACGGCATAGTTTTATTATAGGGACGGCTAAGAGGAGTATCCACATCAAATTATATGAATTGTAGTAGAATTCCCAAAGGAGGTCGCACCTAGGTTGATTCCTAAGGAATTTGTTGGTTTTGGCTTAGTAACAGTGTTCCTCAGTAAGGGTGCTATTAACATTTTGGTCAAGATAATACCATATTGCAGATTAAGTGTCTTTAGCCCCTGAAATTCTTAATGACAGTAGCACCTCTAGTTCCTGTAATAACCAAAACCAACCAACCAACCAAACAACAATGAAACCCTCCAAGCTTTTCAAAACACTCCCTAGGGGAGTGGTACTGCCTTTGGTTGAGAATCCTTGAAATCCAGGCCATAGGAAATGGGAATGTTAGGCATGTTTCAGAAAAGTATTTACCCAGATGGAGCTGCATGTGTAAAGCTAGGGAGGTAGGAAAAAGCAAGATGTTTTGAAAACTGTTTTTACTTTAAATCATTTAATGTATTTAACTGCAACTATTCTCTGAGAGCAAAGAAGTATTTTTAGAAGGTATATTGTGTTAAAGATACGGAGTTTTGTTTTCTGAAGGTATTTTAAAATGGTGTTTTAGATTACCCCATAGCTGTGATTTTGTGTGAAATGAGGGATGATGTTTAAAATTTCCTTCACTTGTAAATCTATTTCTACTTTGCTTTTTAGCTCATAGGTAAAAAAGAAAGTAGCATATTTTTATTTTGACCTAGCTGGAATAATGGGATTGAATGAGTAGAAGTCAGGTTTACTACATGACATTGTCAAAAAGTTATTTAAAATTTGAATCTTGGCTCCTGGATATAAAAAGAGGATATTATTTTTTTACTTCTTAGGTTTGAAAACATTTAGTTTAAAAATATCCAAGATCAAGCAGTCAAAATGAAGTTATAAATGTGAATTTCAAGTCATTAATAAGTTAATTTTGAAAGAATAAAATACCTAGGAATACAGCTGCCTTAACCAAGGAGGTTAAAGATCTCTACAATAAGAATTACAAAAACACTGCTGAAAGAAAGCAGAGATAATGTAAACAAATGGAAAAACATTCCATGCTCATGGATAGGAAGAATCAATATTGTTAAAATGGCCACACTGCCCAAAGTAATTTATAGATTCAATACTATTCCTATCAAACTACCAATATCGTTTTTCACAAATTTAGAAAAAACTATTTTAAAATTCATATGGAACCAAAAAGCCCAAATAGCCAAAGCTATCCTAAGCAAAAAGAATAAAGCTGGAGGAGTCACATTGCTCCCTTCAAGCTGTACTACAAGGCTACAATTACCAAAACAGCATGGTGCTGGTACCAAAACTGACACACAGGCCAATGGAACAAGATAGAGAACCTAGAAATAAAGCCACATACCTACAACCATCTGATCTTTGACAAAGTCGACAATAACAAGCAATGAGGAAAGGATTCCCTATTTGATAAATGTTGCTGGGATAACTGGCTAGCCATATGCAGGAGATTGATACTAGACCCCTTCCTTTCACCATATACAAAAACCAACTCAACATGGATTAAAGACTTAAACATATAGCCTAAAACTATTAAAACCCTAGGAGAAAACCTAGGAAATACTATTCTGGACATAGGCATAGGCCTTGGCAAAGATTTCATGGTGAAGACTTCAAGAGCAAACAAAAACAAAAATAGACAAGTGGGATTCAGTTAAACTAAGGAGCTTCTGCACAGCAAAGAAACTATCAACAGAGTAAACAGAAAACCTATAGAATTGGAGAAAATATTTGCAAACTATGCAACTGAAAAGGTCTAATACCAAGAATCTATAAGAAACTTAAATCAACAAGCAAATAACAAATAATACCATTAAAAAATGGGCAAAGGACATGAACAAACGCTTCTCAAAAGAAAACATACACGTGGTCAACAAGCATATGAAAAAATGCTTGATATCACTAATCATTAGAGAAATGCAAATCAAAACTATAATGAGATACCATTTCAGACCAGTCAGAATGGCTGCTATAAAAAAAAAAGTCAAAAAATAACATGTTGGTGAGATTGTGGAGAAAAGGAAATGCTTACACACTGCTAGTGGGAATGTAAATTAGTTTAGCCACTGTGGAAAGCAGTTTGGATATTTCTCAAAGAACTTAAAATTAGAACTACCATTCAACCCAGCAATCCTATTACTGCGTATATACCCAAAGGAATATAAATTATTCTGCCATAAAGACACATGCACATGTATGTTCATCACAGCACTTTTCACAATAATGAAGATGTGGAATCAACTTAGATGCCCATCAGTGGTGGACTGGATAAAGCAAATATGGTACATATACATAATGGAATACTATGCAGCCATACAAAAGAATGAAATCATATCCTTACAGCAACATAGATGCAGCTGGAAGCCATCCTAAGTGAATTAATGCAGGAACAGAAAATCAGATACCATATGTATCTTTTAAGTGGGAGCTACACATTGAGTACACATGGACACAAAGAAAGGAACAGTGGACATGGGGGCTTACTTAAGGGTGGTGGGTGGGAGGAGGGTGACGACTGAAGAACTGTCTGTTGGGTACTATGTCCACTACTTGGGTGATGAAATTGTTTGCACATGAAACCGCAGTGACATGCAATTTACCCATATAACAAACCTGCATATATGTACCCCCGAACCTAAAAAGTTGGAAAAATAAAAATAAATTAACTTTAAAATATAATATAATTACATACATTGTATACTTATTTTTTCAGATATCAAAAAGAATAAAATTCTTCTATGGGACTACTTTAATAAAGATCTTTTAACCAGATAGGTATACATAGATATACATGTACTGTAGGAGAAAAATCAAATAGAAAGGAGGTGGATGAACTACAGGTGAGAGGATAATTAAGGAAGCTCACTGAAGAAGAGAGCTACTCTCATCTGTAGAAAAGCCCTGACAATTTCTCTCTTTAACTCAAAATGCCTATATCTAGTTGCTTCCCTTTGAACATCACTGTCTGCATCTTCCTAGGTACCTCAAAATCATTATGTCAAAAACTCAACATCTTTTTCCCTAAAGTCTTCTCTGCCAGTTAGGTTTCCTATTTTGATTATTGACATCCTACCCACTTATAGATAGAAACTTGATGTCTTCATTCTGTTCTTCCCATAACCACATATCCAGTGGGTTACCTGTCGAGGCTGAACCTATCACCCAAGTACTTCTTGCTTACATCATCTCCTTTTATCTGTAAAAAATGATCCCTTCACCTGAGTGCCTAGCTTTTGAAGGATATGAGTATGGAGTGCTTAAGGAAGATGTAAGGGGGAGTCATTATTGGCCAACCATATCAGCTGAATCAAACCCAGATATAGGGAATAAAGGAAAAATGCAATATTCTTAGCTTTCTGTCTTTGGCAACAAGAAGGTAGCAGAAGTAAAGAAGATGGTTTTATCTTAGAACACTGTAAGATGCAAGGCAGGTAAGACAGAGATGGCAAGGGAACGATAGACTGGGCAAGTGGGAAGGGAGTAAAAAGAGACTGTTAATTGAAATATAATAGGTTTTGGTGTAAAAAGTGAGGGAGAGATGAAAATTGCAAAACATTGCTGAAGGACATTAAAGAAGACACAAATAAATGGAGATAAATTCTGTGTTCATGGATTAGAAGTTAGAGAAATGGAAATCAAAACCGCAATGAAGTATCACCCCACATCCATTAGGATGGCTAATATTTTAAAACCTCAGAAAATAAGTGTTGTTGAGGATGTGGAGAAATTGGAACCCTGGTGCGCTGGTGGTGGTAATGTGAAATTGTGTAGCCACTATGGAAAACAGTACGGCAATTTCTCAAACAAATATAAATAGATTACCATATGATCCAGAAATTCCCCTTCTGGAAGTATATCCAAAATAATTGAAATCAGGAACTCAAAGAGATATGTGCACACCAATGTTGATAATACAATTATTTGCAATAGCCAAAAGGTGAAAGCAATCTAAGGTACATTGGTAGATGAATGGGTAAGCAAAATGTGGTGTGTGCATACAATGGAATATTATTTAGCTTTAAAAAGGCAGGGAATTCTGACACATACTACAGTATAGATGAACATTAAGGACATTATGCTAAGTGAAATCAGTCAGTCACAAAAAGATAAATACTGTATTGATTTCACTTATATGATATACCTACAATAATCAAATGTACAGGAACTGGAAGAAGAATGGTGATTGCCAGGGGCTGGTAAAAGGAAGAAACAAGGAATTATTGTTAATAGTTGTAGAGTTTCTATTTTATCAGATGAAAAAATTCTGGAGATTGCTTATACAACAATGTGAATTCAACACTGCTGAACCGTATACTTAGAATAGTAGATTTTGTGGTTTTTTAACCACAATCTTTTAAAATGTGAAAAATAGAGAAGACTAAGCTATGATCTCAATGGAAACTAAAACTATAGAGCATCTTTAAATGGAAGATGAAGAAAACTCCCACTTTGTGTCTCTTCTGTGTCAGGTGCTTTGTGTAGTATAGCTCATTTAAAAACCACATGATAATATAATTAATCTTGTGGTTCATTTATTATTTCTGAACTTTGAAAAATGTACAAACTGTATCTGCTCACTTTTAACTTAGACATAAATTCAGGTGAAATTTTTCTACATTTTGACTTTCCTTATCTCTTTTTATTCCTATTTACCAGGTTGGAAAGGTACTTTGTTGGGTGTTGCTATGGCTACAGTGAATGCTATGATAGCAGAATATGGCTGCAGTTTGGAAGACATTGTTGTTGTACTTGGACCTTCAGTAGGACCTTGCTGTTTTACTCTTCCAAGAGAATCAGCAGAGGCATTTCATAATCTTCATCCTGCATGTGTACAACTATTTGATTCACCAAATCCCTATATTGACATCCGTAAAGCCACAAGGTATGTCTGATTTCATTCAACTGCAAGTTTTATTCTTTTTTATTGCTCTAAAATGAAATTTATTTTAGAGAACAATTAGTAACTCTTAGAAGAATTTAGGTGGCGGTTATTTAAGCAGCTGACATGCACATGTACATAAACACTCATTTTAAATATGAAATCTGTTTTCATTTGAGTTTGAATAACAGAAATTTTTTTGTCTGGTATCTTTCATTGATTTGAAAGTGAAGGAAGAAGCATCTGGCATTTAATTTTAAGAGATCTACTTAAACTTCATATAGAAAAGTTGGCATGTACTTTACTTCACAGCCATTCCTCAGCTAAATTCTCCTAAATGTAATGAACTTTCAGGAAGCTAATATTTTAAAATTATTCTTATTATCTAATTAACTAGAGGAATATATTTTTTAGAAAAAATACTAGATAATATAAATACACAGGTTTTTACTTTCAAGTTTTTTATAGTTCTTTGCATTTTTGAATTTATGAAGTTTTGCTATTAATAACTGGTGAAAATTATTTGTCATTACTACAAAGGCAAATTAATGTGTGTTTTAAATCATGTTTCTATTCCAGTCACCAAAACCTTACCCAGAGTCTGCCTCATTTAGTACAGATGTGAAAGAGATTGAAATTGATTCTTAAATGTGACTTTTTAAATCAAGTATCACTAATTTGTAGTCATATTTCATATCATAAAGTGTTCATGGAGAAGCAAGTTTTCTGAGAAAAATCTGGCTAATAGAAGGAAAGGAGATGAAGGGCCAGATGACTAAAAAGCATACTCTGGCTGAGCCAGATTAATTTTGTCTGATATCCTGGTAACTTTTATAGAGATTTCTTCTTAAATAAGCACTTGATTTTGATTATAAAATTCTGTACCTAGATTATGTCTATAGGACAATATGGAAGGTTGTACTGTGCATATATGAACGTAGGTGATAAATGCTGATACAGTGTAGCATTTTTTTCCTGACTAGTCCATGTTCTGTAATTGAATAACAATATACATTGTTCTAGGTACATCTTTCCTGGAACTCTTTCATGCCAACATCCATATTTTTTTTCATATTGCTTTGGCTATTGGGAAAATAAACTCTTGCTCTCTTTTGAAAAATATTTTTCCTAAGGATTCTTCTAGAACGGGGAGGAATTCTTCCACGGAATATTCAGGACCAGAACCAAGATCTCAACCTCTGTACATCTTGCCATCCTGACAAGTTTTTCTCCCATGTCCGAGATGGCCTTAATTTTGGTACACAAATTGGCTTCATATCAATTAGAGAATAAGGTACAGTAGGTTTTCTCTCCTCTCTCCATTTTTCCTCTCTTTCATCCCTCTCTCCACCTCTCCCTCCCTTTCTCTTTCTTCCTCTTTTAGCCGTTTCTTCCCCTCATTTTAAAAAAACAGTTAATTATGTTTAACTTTACTCCTTTATTCCTACAGGAAGAATGATGTTTCTACTTTTTTAGTGATATAATAGTAGTAGCAAAGTTCATTTTCAGTAACACTCTATTATAAAGAGCAGCCACTCCTTTTCCTAGTTAATGAAGAATAATTAGCCAGGCTTATGTTAAAAGTATAAGAATAAAACAATTTAATATTTAAAAAAGTATGTAAGTATTTCCTTTCTCTCTACTATGTACTTGCTATCTGTACATTCCTTATCCTAACATCCTTATAACTTTCATGTTATTTTCGAAAATAAATCTTTGAATAAAGATTCTAAATTCTAGAATAATAAGAAATTCTCACATACAAACTAGCTTGATTTTCAACTAGATTTCCAAATGATTATCTGCAGTTGGAGTTGGCCAAATTTTTGTTTTAAAATGACAGTAAATAGTTTAGACTTTGTGGGACATACAGTATATGTCTCAGCTACTCGACTTCACCATTGTAGAGGTAGAGCAACAAGAGATACTGATAATATAGAAATGAATGAATATGTCTGTGTTCCAATAAAACTTCGTTTACAAAAATCAGGTGAAGGACCCAGGCACAGTGACCCTGCTCCTGTAGTCCCAGCTCCTCAGGAGGCTGAGGTGGGAGGACTGCTTTAGGCCAGGAGTTTGAGTACAGCATGGATAACATAAACCCTGTCTCTAAAGAATAAAATAAACAGGTAAAGGGCCAGATTTGGCCTATCGGCTATAGTTTGCTGACACATGATCTAAAGTCATAGAGCAAGACTGAGTGTAATTTTCTTAAAATAGTATTTATTAGAGGTGGTTTTGTTGGAATTATACAAAAATATTTCATGGCACTGATTTAGCACCGCCCCCTTAGGATGTATGTAATTTTCCCTAAGGTTACTTCTAGCTGAATTAATATTATTTTTTACTCTTTACAATGTTTTTAGCTCTTTAACTTACAGAAAAACTTTAATAGACTTCACGATTGTAAGGGTCTCATATTTGATTTCTATGTATTTTACAGATACTTGACTGGATTTTTGTATAACTGTTTCCTGCCTCCTTCCAAACTGACTGCAAGAGAGAAATTTAGCTGTTTGATCTACTTAAAACCAAATGGATTACAATGGATAATTCATCTTTAGGGTATATTTTTACTATTATTCAAAGTCAAATGATTTTCATTTAATTATAATAATAACTGACAAAAATCAGTATGTTGTAGCTAATATGTTTTATGCATGAGAATTATTCTTAAAGTTTGTTCTTCCTGTTTATTACACAAATCAGGAATAGATTTGTTCAGTTCAGTATTTATTGAATACCCTCTATTGGTCAGGCATTGTGTTAAGCATAGGTGAACAGAAATGAACACGACTTTTTTCCTTTGAGTGTAATACAATGAAGGAGATAAACACTTCTGCCACTTAATTTTAATAGAGTAGAAGAGAACATAAGGAATAGAGGTTAATTTTACCCAGAAGGCAGAGTAGAGAAAATATTTCAAGAGAAAATCACATATCACATGGGCTCAAAAGATGTAGAGGTTTTTGACAAATGAAGAACAGCCATAACAGGTAGAGGGAACACCATGAACCAGGGCATGAAACTGAAAGTGCATAACATATTCTAGAGAGAAAAGGGTGTGGGCAGCAGTTAGGGCTGGAAAAACAGGTTGGAAACAGATAAGTAAGGGTCTCAACTGCAGTGTCAAAGAGCTTGCAGTTTATTTTCCAGGCAATGAGTAGGCAGCCAAAAAAAAAAAAAGTAAGGATTTTTTTTCTCCCTCCCCCATGGCATCATATTTAAGAGGACGAATTTAAATTGTGTGAGACCAAAGCATAGAGACTAGATAAGGGGTGGTCAAAATATTTCAAAAAGAAATAATGAAGATCCAATGAAGGAAGTGGAAATTAAAATAGAGAAGAGAGTAGATGGATTAGAGAGACATTTAAGAGATGGAATCAATAGATCCTGTTACTAGATAATGGAAGTAAGAGGTGAGGAAGAGTGGAAAAGTCATTAATGACTCTTAAGATTTCTGCTTGGCTGTTTACCAAGATTGGCAGCAAAGAGAGGGAGAAGGTTTGGGAAAAGAGAGGAGGATAATGAGTTTGACTTTACATAGAATGAAGGACATCCAGATAGAAATCTTTGGTTAATAATTAGAAATATAGACCTAGAAATTAGGAGGAAACCTGAGACAGAGACAGAGATTTCAAGGTTTACAGTACAGAGATGATGCTTGATTCTGTTGGAGCAAGTTGGATCATCTAGGCAGAAATTAGGATGAGAAAAAGGAAGTCCAAGAATATAACCTTACAAAACACCTGCATTTCAAGAATAAGAAGCTGAAGGAGTAAAAAAAATTAGTCACAGAAGTAAGAAAAAATAGAGTAGTTGTTTTGAAGAAGCCAGGATAGGTGTGGAAAGTACTCAAAAAGAAATCTTCAGGGATAAAATAAAGAGATAATTAAAAAGAAATCAGTGGATTAAGCACATTGAAACTGTTCTATAGGCAGTGGTCATCGAGTCAGCTTTCAGTGCATTAGGAAGAAGATGCATAGGTGTCAACTCTTCTTTGACAGCATTTACTAGAGAAGAGAAAAAGCTGGGGAACTACATCTTGAGGGAAAGGACTTTTTTTGGATGAGTGGTTTTGAGTATGTTTGTCAGTTAAAGAGAGAACTTAAGTTAGTTTTCATTTGGGAGAAATTGTATATATATTTAATGTAAGTTATCACATTGCATCTTAAAAATTTTCTTATTTAATACATGTATTTCCTACATGTATGTGTGGTGGCATGACAGCAAATAACATTTGTTTGGTATTTCCAAAGGACTTTCATGTACATTACCTCATTTTACCTTTACAGCTACTCTGAAATACACAGGCATTATCCCTTTTATTCAGCTGAGAAAACTGTGCTTCACTGAGGTGAAAGTCAAAAATCACATAATTTGTGATGAAGTCAGATTTGAGCATACGTTTTGTGACTCCAATTTTCCTCTCAGATTTTAAAATTAATTAAAGGGATCTCAATTATATTTTTATTTTTAACTTTTTGTTAACATAATTTATTCAGTGAAAATTTTGTTGAGGTACTGGGACAGGTTAAAAAACTACAGTTGTAACCCTCAGGATATTTAATATCCAGTGAAAAGTGACAATCAGTAAACCAGCAATTTCAATACTTTGATATATGTTGTGAGGTTGTGACAACTGATTCTTGTTTAGTTTAATTCTGTATCTCCCTTAGCCCAGTGTTAAATTTAAATAAAATACCTCATTTTTTCCAATTCAGGGAAGGCACTAAACATAAAGCATAGGATAAAAATGTTGAACTCATCCAAAATATTATTTTGTTTAATGAAAATGATAAAGATTAAGGAATACTTACATGTATTGAGAAAGGTTAATAATTTTCTAGTTCTTCACTGTGCATTATTTTGTTTGAGGTTGGTAAATTTGGAGTATCCTGCAGACACATACTGCTTTATGTACTACAACATTCTACAACCAAATGAAAATTATTTTGATTATCTGATTTTGGATTATCTCTGCCAAAGTATGTAATGAAAAGTTATCTCCTTGCTGTTTTACTGAATGAAAAGTGCTGATTTAGTAACTCAGAACTATCAGGTTATTAAATAATCATCTTATTGCATCTACAAGATAGCTGTCACTCTCACACATTTGTATGTAGGTTTCTAGGACTTTTGGGGTACAACAACAAAGATTTCTAGTAAATTAAGTTTTGGTTTTGTTTTTAATTTTATTTTAAATTTATAAATAACAATGGTACCTCTTCATGGGATACATAATAATGTTTCCGTTCATATAATGTATAGTGATCTGACCAAGGTAATTAGCATATCTATCATCTCAAACCTTTTTCTTTGCGTTATGAAGATTTAATTGTTCCTTCCAGCAATTTTCAAACTATATAATATACTATTGTTAACTATAGTTATCCTACAGTGGTATAGAACACTGGAACTTATTCTTCCTAAAGTTTTGTTTTTAATCTAAGCACTGCTACTAACTGCACGTAGGAAATATTGATTGCTATTTTATTAATAAGGGGAATTAAGTTTGTAAATCAAATAAACATTAATGAAATACCTTTTTGGAAGTACTATCAAACTAAAACTTACTGGGCCATTTATCTAACTGTAATTTTAAATAGTGAAGAATAGCACAGTGGCCAAATATGCGGTACTCCAGTGCTTTATAAAACAAATGAGATGATCTTACCACTAGGAGGTAGTATTTCAACAAGTAACTCTACTCTTATTTCTTGGTATAAAGTTGAACCAATCTTAAACTCTGTATTTTCTTGTGGAATAAAAAGGGAGGGGAGGGTGCATTTGAAGTTAGTGAATGTATTGCTCTTACTTTAGGCATAACATGGTAGTTCAAGTAGATAAAAGCATTTAGGAACCCTCACCCACTTCTATTTCATTCCTACAGAATCTCTAGTAACTGCTTTTCCGTAAGTAGATTTTGGGGAGAAACTCGGAGAAGCTTATTCTGTGTAACATGGCAAAACAGAAATAATACCCAAATATTCAGCAGCTGGAAGGAAAGATAACAGGGACATATGAGTTATATGCTTTTATATCTCAAAGTGGGATTTGATATTTATTTTTATTTGATTGCCCTAGAGTTATACTTCCAATGTATCCATCTTAATTTTTGTGTGAACTCTTAGAGAACGCTACCAATCTATGGAAGTTCAGCACTTCAAAGAAAGCATTCCTCAGTTATCTGTGTGTTATCCTGTTTGTATGCATGGGTCTTTGTGGATGTGCTAAATGGCAAACAAGAAATATATGTGTGTTAAATATGACATATAGCCTCTTTGCCCTAGCTAATATAAATTAACACACACATAACACGTTGCATTCAGTGGAATCATATATTTCTCCCTATAGATATTTTAATAAATTATGCAATGAAGAATAGAAAACATGGTCCATATGCTTACTGGATGTGTTTCTGGGAACCCTGATCTAGGGCACATGCATTTTCATTGTAGGCAGTGTTTTTAAAGTTTACTTGTGATTTCAAAGATTGCCATAAGCAATGCATTGTTCTGTACTAGGTCATTGCTTAATGAAGGAAAAAGAAATCTGCCAGTACTGCTTTTTCCAGATTAACACATTTGGTTTGAACTCATAATGATTACATGTCAATTGTGTTGAGACAAACTTTTCATACTCTCCTTAGATGCATTTTTGTAGAGAAGGAAATGCTTACATCACATTCCCCATGCCCTTGTGCCAAGCACCTGAGGTGAGCTATGTCTCTGTATTTGGAGCAGACTTTTTGTTTTATTTAATTCTCAGAAGGTTGGGGTGTCCAGTTACTACATTTTGTTAAACAAAATTTCCAGCAGACACTAGCCCAAAATACCACATTCCTTTCTAACCAAAAACAAAACAAAACAAAAGACAAAAAGGGGGAGTAAAGGGAATACTCTTGTTTCATGAGAAACTGTAGAAGAGATTTGTTCATGGTAACAATTGGGTTTTTAATGTCCTTCATTTTCTGAATTCTGCATCACACACTGCTTCAGTTTACATCTCACCATGCTTTCCTGTTCCTTACATTTTTAAAGCACATGTTTTAAGGTTGTATTTTTCTTATCCCTCCCATCAGCCTTGTTTTCATAGTTGATATTTCATATTCACAAGGTACCTTCATTCCTTTGGTTTTCTACTTTTCAATACATATCCAGATTTGGCTATAGAGTTGTCTGTTTGACATATCCTGTGTCCCCTCAAATACAACATCCTCCAAACTTAACTCATCATCTTCTCTCCAAAACCTGCTCCCATCCTGTCTTCTATCTCAGAAGATGAAATTATTATTCATGCAGTTGCCCAGCCAGAAACCCTGGAGTGTCTCTGAATGCCTCCCTTTCCTTCTCCCCTTCCCTTCCCACACTACTGACTGTATATCTACCATCTGTTCCCATGACTCTTTCTCAACTGCCACAGACATGCAGGTCGTCATCTCTCACCTATATCATTAGAGCAGCCTTCTGACTAGTCTTTCCTTATTGAATCCCTTCTTACAGTATCATTATTGATTGTTTTAAAATGCAAATCTGGTCATATTACATCTCTCAAAACATTTTTATGGCTTTCCCACTGCCTCCAAGATAAAGACCTACTCACTAAAGTGTGTAAGTGCTGTCATCCTCTCTCCCCTGCTTACTTCTTTAATTTCTACCACTCCCCACTCTGTGCCATATGCTTTAGCCGTTCCGTACTTTTTTTCATTTCCTAGAGTATACCATTAAGCTAGGCCAGACCAACGAGGTTGGTTGGCATTCAAAGACTGACTAGAACTCAGATTTCTGTTTAGGATTACCTTCACCTAGGCTTTCTACTAAATTAGCAAATAGGAAGTACCAAGGACATCTACAATAAAAACATTTATGTAAATGAGTACAACACTCTAGTGTCTCCCTAATTTCTTATGGAGATATGGCCAAAATTCAGTTGTCAATGTAGTATATATATAGTGAGTGCTATTCCAGATCGTACATGGAAGTTAAGTAGCTTTTGTTCCACTGGGCAGCATGAGGGGCCATGCTAATGCTCAAAGGTCTACCTTCTACTGTATGAGGAAAGTTTTACTATATTGAAAAGCATGCACAATATTTTTTTCTATGTTATTGGGTCAACAGCAGTTCTCACCATGATCACCATCATCTTCCACAGCTATGTTTTCTCTTGCCCCTTGACTTTGTACACATTGCTGGCTCTTTGTACACATTGCATATGCACAGCGTTTGTCAATGTCGCTTCTCTTAAATAACTCTTAACCATCCTTTAACACTCAGATCTGGGGTCATCTCTGCCAGAATATTTTCCTTCATTGTTTGTCTCATTAGCACCCATCCTGAGCATCATTTTTTATAGTCCTCAGTGAACTGATTTTTAAATGTTGGTCTGTTTAATTGTCTACTACTAAATATAGACTCCATCAGAGTAAGGAGCATATCTTACTTATCTTCATATTTTTAGTACCTAGCAAAGATATTATCACATTATAATAATCTAGTATCTATGGGAGGAAAAAGGGAAAGAGGGAAGTGTATTAGTCCTTTCTCACACTGCAATAAAAAACTACCTGGGGCTGGGCACAGTGGCTCACCCCTGTAATCCTAGCACTTTGGGAGGCTGAGGCAGGCAGATCATGAGGTCAAGAGATCAAGACCATCCTGGCCAACATGGTGAAACCCTGTCTTTACTAAAAATACAAAAATTAGCTGGGCATGGTGGCACGCACCTGTAGTCCCAGCTACTTGGGAGGCTGAGGCAGGAGAATCGCTTGAACCTGGGAGGCGGAGGTTGCAGTGAGCTGAGATCACACCACTGCACTCCATCCTGAGCAGCAGAGCGAGACTCTGTCTCAAAAAAAAAAAAAAAAAAAAAAAAAAAAAGAACTACCTGAGCAATTTATGAACTACTGGGTAACTTATGAAGAAAAGAAGTTCAATTGACTCACAGTTCCATAGGTTTAACAAGACGCATGACTGGGAGGTCTCAGGAAACTTACAATCATGGTGGTAGGTAAAGGGGAAGCAAGCATCTTTTTTTCACATGGCAGCAGGAAAGAGAGAATGGGAAGGGGGAAGTGCCCACACTTTTAAACCATCAGATCTCATGAGAACTCACAATCACCACAACAGCGAGGGGGAAATCCACCCCCATGATCTAATCACCTCCCACCAAGCCCCTTCTCTGACACGTGGGGATTACAATTCGATATGAGATTTGGGTGGGGACACAGAGCCAAACCGTATCAGAGGGGGAAGAATCCTTAAACAATCTCATACAAGGTCTGGAAGGATAAATATAATAAATCGTATTTTGGACTGTTTGTGTTTTATTGATTTTCACAAGGTTCATTTATATTTCCAGTGTTTAGTTGAATTTATTTAAATAATAATGATATATCAAAGTCACTAAAGAAAGTTTTAAGACATTTGGCCATGTTTCCTTAGCCATCATTAGAATTTACTGTTTTCAACTTGTATAGCAACATAAACTTTAAAATACTGCTTTAGGACAAAAAATGCTGGTAAGGACGTGGAGAAAGGGGGAACTGTTATACACTGGTAATGGGAATGTAAATTAATACAGCCATTATGGAAAACAGTATTGAAGTTCCTCAAAAACCTAAAATAGAACTACCATATGATCCAGCAATCCCACTACTGGGTGTATATCCAAAGGAAAGGAAATAAGTATGTTGAAAGGCACTCCCACGTTTTTTGCAACACTATTCACAATAGGCAAGATATACAATCATCCTAAGTGTCCTTCAACAGATAAAGAAAATGTGGCATATATACATAATAGAATACTATTCAGCTGCAAAAAAGAATGAAATCCTGTCATTTATGGCAACATGGACAAGCTTAGAGGACATTATGTTAGGTAAAATAGCTAGGCACAGAAAGATAAGTGCTGCACATTCTCACTCATGTGTGAAAACTTTAAAAAAATTGGTCTCATAGAAGTAGAG